TGAATGAGTTGTTTGTCTCCATGTGGCTCTGATGGACCTGCAACCTTTCTAGTTTGTCCCTCACCCGTTGCACAGTGACTGCTGGAGATAGGCACCAGTTCCCTGCAACCCAGGAAAGAAGAAGCAGGTAAAATAAAGGGATAGATGGATTAGTCCAAAATTAGAAATGGCCTCAACACAGATATTGAGTTTATTTTTCAGGGTCGGATGAGACCAAGAGAACTGAAAACCAGTGAAGTTACCTGTGTGTGTCCGAACACTTACATTTTATAACAACAAAATGTGTATCAAAACTTGTTCCTGATTCACTGAAAAGCCGTCTAGATTTAATTCAGTCAAGAAAGATATTCATTATGTCCGTTATCTTTACAGGATTCACTCCAATAAAACCTTGAAGGACCAAACTGAACAAACACTTTATTAATGTTTATCCACAATTATTTTTGCTGCATTACAGACACACAGTCACACACTTCCCACACACCCTGTGACCAGCAACACACACAGACTCACACAAATTGACAAAAGCCTTGCGCACAAATAGACGTGTGCAGTAAGTTCAAAAGGACAAACATCGAATTGACACAACTTAACACCCATATAAACAAAGAGACCCACCCTAACCGTCCTGCTCTGTGAATGCAGTTTTTTAACGAGGTGTTAATGAATAATAAACGAGGAGCTGGGAGGAGAACCACATCAAAATGTCTCACACACTGGTTCACATCAAACCAAACGAACAAAATACAGCTTACTACAAAAACTGCACACCAATTAACTGAACTACAGAAATTAATCTTTTTTTAAGTGCAGGACAGGAACAGCTAAAAAGAGCTGTTTCTGTCTGATCGCACTGGCTTTAATAAATGTTTGCACCATAAAACCTACAAGAAAACTACTTAAAAAAAATGTGATCAGCTTATGAATTAATTAAGTTTTAGTTTCCACAAAACATATTTTGTTTATTATTGCTCGCTGCTCGAAGGCAAAAAGGAGTATTTTTGCACATCTGTGACAATTTCTGTTGGTAAAATATCTAATGACCACTGTATGGTTAAAAAAAACAACTAAAGAAGTTATTGTTGGATGCACATCTACAACCGAGTGACTTTGGAGTCAGTCAAAATGATTTAATATGGCTGCCGCAGCCAACTGATTTTAAACTACAAAAATGGCTGTACCTCGGTCAGTTTAGGAGATCTTGACCTAAAATCTGGTGTGGTAGTAGCTGAAACTGATCCTCAACACTTCTTATTTTGTTATTAACTATATGGAGTAAAATCTGTCCGAATATTAGTAAAATATTTTATTAAGTACTTCACATATGAAGTAAAGAATGACGTTATTTTCAGAGTTTGACCAAAACAGCCACAACTCTGTCCATTCCCAACATAACAGAATCTTAGTCTAAAACTCCGGCATTGAAGTTAGCGGGTGATATGCATTCATTCATTCAACCTGCATTCCTTTACGGGATGTTATGTCTTTCATTCATTTACTGTTTATTGTTCAGGAACAAGTGTTGAGTTTTAAGAAATACTGTACTGAACAATATAATTGTGTTTATACTTCAGGTTACTTTCCAGTGCATGTCCACAGATGGACCTTTAGCAACACCGAGCATAAAACCGTTCAAATAAATGATGTGTAGGCGTCATCATTGTATGTTTACATACAATGATGAAACTGGCTCTCTGCATTTAACCCATCCACCCCCAGGTGGGGCAGTGGGCAGCTACTGAAAGCACCAGGGGAGCAATTGGGGATAGGGTGTCCTGCGCAGAGACACCACAAGATGTGCAATGACTGGGGATCGAACCTGGGACTTTGGGGTCCCGAGTCGGCTGCCCTGCCTCTGCCCCATCTCAGCCACCCAAAACAATAAAAACAGAACAAAATGTTACACTCATTAAGACGAGGCATGAAAAACAAAATAAAACCAATTACAACAACAAATCATAATGTTATAGTTAGACACGACAACAAAACTGCTATGGTCATTTTAAAATCTTGTTTTGTATTTTTATAGCTTTTTGTTCTTATGTGAAATGTGCTGCATAAAAAAGTTGCCAGTCAGTCTAGACCTCAGAGACATGAACTGTTGTCAGAAAACCAACAGAACGCGGACAAATTTAATAAAACCTCCGGTCTGCAATAAGAATAAATAGAAAAGTTCATAGGTATTTTGTTACTAAGCCTACATGTTTAAAGACAGTTTACTTTTGACAGAGTAGCTGCTGATATCCTCGGATGTCTGTTTCTGCGGCTGTGCAGGCTAGGTGTGTGTGTCTGTGTGTGTGTGTGTCTGTGTGTGTGTGTGTGTGTGTGTGTGTGTGTGTGTGTGTGTGTGTGTTGTTAAGTGAGAAGAGAGGAGGAGACAGCTGCTGACTCCTACTTGATCTGGGTAGTAATCGCCCAGGGGATGGACGGAGTGCACGGTGCAGTTGTGCGTGACAGCCAATATATGTGGGCCATGAGAGTGTGTGTGTGTGTGTATGTATATATGTATGTATGTATATGTGTGTGTCTGTGAGAGAAAGAGAGAGAGTGAGTGTGTGTACAGTGCAGCTATTTAAAAAGCCAGAACAAAACAAGCATCAGGCAAATTTACAGACTCTTGGAGATAAAAATAGACATAACGCACACACACACACACACACACACACCGAGTGATGTTTAACAAATTATGTCTGATGCTGGGGGGTTTATAGAGGAATATGAAGTTAGTGACTCACACACACACAATGTAGGAATGCATATTGCCCACTGCCTTTAATGTCTGAGTTTTAATCATTAAGCAGGAGCTCATGCAGTAAGATCAGTGTGTGCCGATGATGACGCTCAGCTACGACCTCAGATTTGAGCTCCATATCAGAAAAATGGAGCCATTTTTGTGTTGGCTGAGATAAATTAGCTGTGGTAGCCATCTTAAAATTGATAATACAGTTGCGATGTACACCCAACAATTACTTTGTACATTTCACTCAACTCTGTCTGGTTCAGGAGGTATTTTGCCAACGGACAAACGAGGCTGACGCCAACAGTTGGTGTCAGGTAAAAAAAAATGTTGGTTCAATGTGGGGGTGTGAATTAATCACAGCTACTGCCACAGCAAATTTTAGTTCAAGGTCTGAAGTTATAATCGTTGTGCTGGCCAGGATTTTTTAGCTGTGGCGGCCATCTTGAATGGGTTGTAAAAGTTAATTATTTGCAGATGTACATCTAATGATTACTTTGTGACAGCTTCATTAAAATCTGTGCAGTGTTTATTGATTAGGAGTTATTTTGCTACAGCCTAACAAACGCAATCAGACGCGTATTACTTCATCTTTTTTTTTATTTGGGACATTATTGTCAAAGTAGGTACATTATTTTAGCACATATTCCAATCATATTACTCTAATAACATCTCAATTAAAGTTACATATTTCTGTTAGGACTGCATTAAATTATTATTTATTGTCAGTCGCTAGAGGTGAATGGGCAAAAAGTTTTTTCTGATTACTCAGTCTGATTTTCTATCAAGTATCTGTCATCAATAATAAATTTATGTTGCAGAATGGCAGAAGAAGCACACTAAGCTTGTATTGGAACAACGTTAAATATGTTACCAGGTAAATACAACAAAGAAACAGTGCAAACCATTACAAAGTTACACCCATGATGTTGTAGAATAATTTAACATTTTATAACAGGAAATAATCCAGAAATCATCACATTCCAAGTGGAGGAGTTCACGTATCTCTGGGCTTTGTTCACGAGCGAGGAAAGAAAAGAGCGCGAGATTGACAGATGGATTGGTGCAGCGTCTGCAGTATTGTGGACGTAGTGCTGGTCCGTTGTGGTGAAGAGGGAGCTGAGCTTTAAGTAAAGCTCTCTGTTTACCAGTAGGTCTATTTTCCTACCCTCAACTATGGTCATGAACTCTGGGTAGTGACCGAAAGAATGAGATCGTGGATACAAGCGGTTGAAATGAGTTTCCTCCACAGCTGGACTCTCCCTTAGAGACAGAACTTCAGTTATCCGGGAGAGACTCGATGCAGAACCGCTGCTCCTCCACATCGAGAGGAGCCAGTTGAGGTGGTAGGGATGTTTCCTGGGCGCCTCCCTATAGGGAGGTGCTTCGGGCATGTCCGACTGGGAGGAGATGCCGGGGAAGACCCAGGACACACTGGGAACGCCTTGGGGTCCTCCGGGAAAAACTGGAAGAGGTGGCTGTGGAAAAAGATGTCTGGGCCTCCCTGCTCAGGCTGCTGCTCCCGAAACCCGACTTCAGAACATGCAGAAGATGATGGACGGATGGATGGCATCACATTCCTGGACCGAGCACACCCCATGCAGTGCAACAGCTACAAGGATCCTTTCTGAACACTGTAGAAGATCCAACATCTCAGAGATTTTCAGCAAAAGACAATGGAGGTGAAACATGGATTCACAGAACCTCAGGTTTGATACCCAGCTGCACAAATAACCTGCAGCAGCAGCCTGCAGGACGGATGATTTACATACGTCCAGATCACCATCATTCTGCGTTTTCATCAAAAATACAAGAGCAGACAAACAAATAACCGAACGTTACCGCAATCGGTCCTTTAACGCACGATCCGCATTTAGACACGCACCATCACTTCTCCCATATTTCGTCGCCGAAAGCACAAGATGCCTTTTTCAACACATCGACAGCCCAATTTTTACGTCAAAGTCATTAATTTTAGCCCCTATATTTAAAAGAATCATCCGTATTTTCCCAATACCTGTGAATAAAATTAAGATGTCATCGAGCAAATATCAAAAATAAGCGACTAAAGGCGAAATTTAACGGCTAGCTAGCTACACGAACGCTGCCGTCATGACAAACGTTTAATGGACGATTATTCGATATAAAAAATATGACTGGTGTAAAATCCTAATATTTTAGGAACAGTTAACTAATTAAAACGCTACCCACATAGTGACATTTTCATTTTTTGTCTTTTTTTTCCTGTTTCGTTTTTCCTCACCCTTTTCTTTACGGATTCCGACACCCTCCTCCTCCGGAGCTTGTCCGTTACCGAGCAGCAGCCGAGTGCGCGAGGACAGCTGGCACAGCGCGAGCCGCAGATGCTTCTTAGCCGACTGTCCGGCAGCAGCCAATAGAAACGCTCGAACCGGAGCAACGGAAAAGCGGACCAATCAGAGTGCAGATATGCATAGGGGCGGGGTTTACTGGCGCTCAGAAGAAAGGGGCGTGACCCTGCAGCCGTCGAAAAAGTGTTGCATTCAAATGCTTATGGACATATTTCGATTGAAACCCAATTTTCACTGATTCTAGTGCTAAAAATAAACAATAGTTTCAGACAGTTCCAGAATCGTGTTGTAAATCATACAAACTAATGAAAGTCAAACATAAAACCGTGTGCTTGTTATCCTGATGCATGCTCAATAATCCAGGTAGAAAAATCTAAAAAAGTTAAGTCTGGTCCTCTGGACATTCAAAAAACAAGGCTGGTTCAAAAAGGTATGCTTGTTAATATTTGCTAATTTCTTGACACATAATTTCACCAAACGTTCAAATTTATGAGCTCAAAATATCTTGCTTAATAGTTAAACTTTATTGTATTGTAAAGTTGTATTTAATTTAATGTTGATTGTGACTAAATTTAAACATGAGGAATGGTTTACTAAGAAAAAAACGTATTTATTATTATGCACATCCCCCCAAGAGAAATCAAAAATAAAAGAAGTCCAAACATTAGTTTTTGAGTTGAGTGACTTTAGAAACAGAAATAAAAGCTGTTAAGTTCAGAATATTAAAAAAAAATCACCTTTTGTTCTATGTAACGTGTGTTTAGTTATATTTTACGTGCTCTTATCAGATGTTTTAAAGCAAATAAACACATGCTTAAAAATGAAAGTTTATAGTATAGATGCAGAATAATTTTAATTTTCTAACTTGCATTTTAGAACTTTAGTTCTTAAATTTATCTGTAAACATGGAGTGCAGGTAAAAAAATATTTAACCTGAACTAAATCAAACGGTGCAGTTTGAAATTTACTGTATCTGGGCATTGTGTTTACGAGTGATGGTAGGAAGGATGGACTGGGAGACAGATTGATAGATTGGGGCCTCGTACTCAGTAACGCGGGCGTTGCTTCGGTAGGTCTTGGTGAAGAGTGTTGTGTGGAAAGGTAAAGCTCTCGATTTACTTGTCTGTCCACGTTCCATTCCTTACCTGTGGTCATGAGGTTTGGATCAAGACCTAAAGAGCATGGATACAAGCAGAGCTTCCTTCATAAGTGGCTGAGCTCAGCCTTAGATAGGGCGAGGAGCTCTGTCATCTGGGAGGAGCTCAGAGTAGAGCCGCTGCTCCTTCGCATAGAAAGGAGTCAGCTGAGGTGGTTCAGGCATTTGATCAGGATGCCTCCCTTTGGAAGATCTCAGGGCACGTCCCAAATGGAAAGAGACCTGGAGGGATTTTATATCTTCTCTGACCTGGGACCCCCAGGTGGAGCTGGAAAGGGATGTCAGGACCTGTTGCCTCTGAAAATGGAGATTGAAAACACACAGTGACGTAGAAATCTGTTGGTTTAGTGTCAACAACGTTTGCCGAGACTGAACGGGGAGAAGACATCATCAACAGAGAAAGAAAATGATGAAAAAGATCACACCGACTCACAAGAAACAGTCTTTTTTTAATTCACCGGTCATTTCTTACATAGTTCAAGTACAAAGTTAAAATGCCTTTTAATTAGTTCATATTCATACAAGAGTAAAATAATAATAGTGCCTTTTCATAACTACAACAAACTTAAATACAGTCATTGTAAAGACAAACTTGATTTATACTCCTAACAATATATTTTTCTTTGTTTTTTTTTAATAGATAAAATTTTAGCACCTTTTGAAACGCCACCAGCTCTTCCTTTTCCTAAAAGCTCATCTTTCGTTAAGTCCATGAGATGAGTGTCTGCATGCGCCGCAGCCTTGTTTGTGGGTGTTGCGTGTGTGTTTGCTGTGTTCATAGCAGTGTTTCATTGTGTTTAGAGTGTGCACGAGTGTTTAAAATCAGCGCGTCGCTCAGACTAAGAGCTGTTGATAAGCGAACAGAAACGTCATCGCTGCGTCACCAGTCGCTTCGAAACGTCGACTCTTTCCCTCGTCGCTTTAGTCCCGCTGCGCTCTCAGACAGAAACGTGTTGAAATCGAACTCGGGGTGAACCAGAACGCGCTTTATGAATACAATAAATGTGGGAAATGTTTTATTTAAAGTTAAAGGTTCTACATATCCTGCAGAGAAGTATGTAGTTCACACTTTATTGTGTTAAATAAAAACTTCTACCGTAATTTTCGGACTATAAGCGCACTTATAATCCTTTAATTTTCTCAGAAATCGACAGTGAGCATTATAATGCGGTGCGCCTTATGCATTAATTCTGGTTGTGCTTACTGACCTCGAACTGATTTTATGTGTTACACGGCGCTCAAAAATCAGTTAAATTTAACTTATTTTGCTTAATGCACCTTATAATCCAGTGAGCCTTATGGTGTGAAAAATATGGTTTATTAAAATGATAAATAACCTGCACATATTTATTAAATGTGTCTTGATGTAAGCTATCAAAGTAAATAATTTGAGTGGTTTTAATTTATACATTATTCCACAAACACTGCATTATGTTCTCTATCATTTAGATTTTACTCTGCTAATATTTTGCCCATGAGCACAAATTTCAGAGTCGGATGACTGAAGTCATACGTCTTTTAATTACTTTATTTACACTATTCAGTTGAGGAATTAAAAAACAAATACAGAAATAATTATTTTGAACAGAACCAATATCTTGGAGGTATTTATAAATTACTGTACTTTGGAGCGCTTTTATTTTTATCATAAAGAAGCAGATGCCTGCGTAAGTGCACCATCGTATTAGTGTTAGACTAGAGCCTCTTTGTCAGTTTGCAAAAATGAACAAAAATGCATTTACAAATTAATACTGTTAAATGTCCTGACGCATGCTCAATAATCCAGGTACACAAATCTAACAGTCTAAAGAAGTTATCTGGATGAAAGACGAAATGTTTCAACAAAAAAGAATCCGTCCAGAAGACCTGACTTAACCTTTTCGATAATGTTAAATAAAATCACCACCAAACCTTTGTAGTTTGTCGAGTTACAACCACAAACTTTAAAGTATTTTACTGCAATTTATGTGCTAGACTAACAAAAAGTAGCTCATAATTGTGAAGTGGAAGGAAAATGACACATTTTCCAAACAGGAATTTGTAGAGTGGCGTACGTTTGTATTCAGCCACCTTTAATCCGACGCGGAGCTAAAATCCAAAGCAGCCAAATGTCTTCGGACTTCATGTGATTTGTAAATAAAGTCCAACTGTGACTGATTTAATCTCAGTATAAACACAGCTGTTCTGTGAAGGCCTCAGAACATCAGTGATAAACAGCATCATGAAGACCAAGAAAAAAGAAAAAATCAGGCCTGATGTAATCTTTTTGCCCTGAAGACAAAACGCTGCGCTCTGAACGCACCATCCTACACGTGAAACCTGGTGGAGGCAGCACCGGACGTTTCCAAGGCACTGCAATAAAAGTTGGGCATTTGAAACTGTTTAAAAGACCGACTTTACAAAAAGTAAAAGTAAAATAAACCTTATAAGTAAGAAAAAGCACCATGATTTTGTAGTCTAACAAATATAAATGCAGCATTTTGTCCGATTTATTTGCACTGAGCTGATTTTGACCGTGATTTGAACATTCCAGTAATCATCTGAGGAATTTGAACTGGTTTTGATTAGAACATTTAGCAAATGTTAGCTTTTAGCCTCTAAAACTGAATGTGACAGGATTTTTGAGGCACAATGAGCTGTACCGTTTTGTCCGTGTTATCAAGCACTAAAAAGTTAAATATATAATTTATATATAAAATAAACGAGGTGATGATGAACGGAGTAAATGAGTAGATCTTGCGTTTAATCGATCTCACAAAGTCACAGCACGAGATACAGTTTAGACGCGATTTATTAAAAAAAGAATGCGACTGTGATGAATATCGGCACCAGATTTTATATTGCTCCAGAGCTTGTCGAGTTTTCTATGTTTAAATTATTATCAATATCATTTTAAACACAACTCTTTTGTCTTTTACTCTCCTGGATCAAACGTTTTGATTTATCTTGTGAGCCGTAAAGCTCGACAGGAAAGCCTTCGGTTCAGAGTCGCCTGTGACGATGCGAGTCGTTTCAACTCGTGTCTGGTCTGAGAGCGTCAGGCAGCTCATCGCTTCCACAACTTCTCCTTGGGTACAACAGAACAAGTCACTACACTAACTGTAACACACGCTTTCTCTAGCCTCCTTCTCTCTGCAGGCTGAGACTGAACCAAACTGAGCACCAACCTGGAACAGTACACACACACAATAACAGATTATTATTGTAATTATTATTACCATATTATTATTACTCCCTAATCTAACATGGAATCAGAGATTACACTGACTGACTGACATGCAGCACCTGGGGGTGGTGATGGGGGATGTTGGGGAAGGATTCAGGTAGGGAGAGAAGGATGGAGGGGCGGGGTTTGGAGCACCAAGCGTCGCGGGGTGATGATGTCACACCTAACGTCGCTGCTGTCTAATGGCAACAGGCGGCCGGTAAATAACACAGTGTGTGTGTGAGCGTGTGTGCGAGGTGTAAGATTTACAGCACTGAGTGTGTGAGTGAGAGCTGTACAAAAGAGCAGAGTTTAAAAAGCACCTGAAGGTTGGTTGTATGAACTGAGAGTAAACATGACAGAAAAAAAAACCTGCTGGTTTATTGTTGGCTTGAGAGGCTGTTTGTGCACGTTCAGTGTGTGCGTGTGATTAAAGAGTGTGTCAGCACAGACTGCAGGAGTCTAGGTGTATAAGCTGGTATCTGAGGAAGGTCAGAGGATTGGAAGGCTTCCTGTAAAAGATGGTCGTTTGAAGACCACAAGCACCAGACTGAAAAGTTTTCTCAGAAGACAGCCCTGTGTAAATAAACCACACGTCGATAAACGATGTCTCTCATGGTGTGTGTGTGTGATAGTTTACACATATATCTGCCTGACTGGAGGAGAAGTCAAGCAGCAGCTGAGTTTATCCCAGCAGACACGGTGGGCAAAAGGCAGAATAAATGTTTAAAAAAAAAAGGGAAAAAGTTTGAAGTTGTGTTACTTAAGAACATTATTTATCCAGAACTATCTGCTTCAGCAGGAGGAAGTAGAAAAAAACATCAAGTAAAGGTCTGCCTCTGATTTCAGTGCACGTCATCGTTGTAACCGAAGCACATTTCTATGAAGCAGTGTCTGGTGAATTATCTCACCAGGTGACAGAAGAAAAAAAAAAACAGCAACGATGAAGCTGAGGCACGAGAGAAGCTGCACCGTAAGAGGAAGGGCACGTTAAACGCTGCTGCCAAATATTGAATCCTACAAAGTCCTGTAACGTTTCAACTTAAAATCTGTTACAGGCAGTGCTGCTCTGCAGGTAGAAATAACCTCAGAAGACGAGTTCAACCTTGACTGGGTGGATCAAACACCTGGAGCGTGGCTGCACACGGAGGCGTCCCTCTAAACAAGCAACGTGCACTTGTGCAGCTTTTAAAAAGCTAACAAGGCAGAGGTGTCAGGTACGACACAACGCTGTGGTCCAATGCTGATGTTATAGTTTCTGAATATTCCACGGCAGTAAAGAGACAGAGCACCAACACAACCAAGAGGAACACAAGTATCAGATTGTCTCACAAGTTCTGTGGTTCCTCGGCTCATTGTGGGGCGCTGTAAAAGCAGGGGACATGCCGTATTTTTCGGACTATAAGGCACACTTAAAATCCTTTAAATTTTAAAAAATTGACAGTGAGCCTTATAATCAGGTGCACCTTACGTATTACCGTATTTTCCACCGTACACGTCGCTCCGCCGTATAAGTCGTATCAGTCCAAATAAATCTAAAGTGTAAAAATCCATAAATGCGTCGCTTCGTCGCATTATGCGTCAGCGCTGACGCGTTGCGTTTGTTACGTGTCTCCGCTGACAACCCAGAAATGTGGGCCGGTGTTGTGCCAAAAATTGAATGGCTGACAATGGCAGCCGCTGGGGCGTGCACGGGAGAATTTTAACAAGAATTTAACAAGATAAACACTTAAAAACAATTGTTTATTTGCTCGAAATTATAGTAAAGGTGTGTCTCAGTCTAACTAGGCTCAGTGGTTAGCACTGTTGCCTCACAGCAAGAAGGTCCGATCCCCGGTTGGACCTGGGGTTTTTCAGTGTGAAGTTTGCATGTTCTTCTCGTGCTTGCTGTGGTTTTCTCCAGGTGCTCCGGTTTCCTCCCACAGATCAAAAACATGCATGTTAGGCTGCCTTCAGGCCCAGGCCTCCATTGCAAAAGAGATCTGTGATCTCAATGGAATTTGCCTGATTAAACAAAGGTGAATAAAATAATAAAAAACTTTTGTTTAATAAATGCACTTCGACGGTCAGATCAGCTGTATTTCAAAAGCCGATTTGCGGAAGCGGGCATGCGGAGAGGGACGAGTCGCTGTTCATCTCTTCGAAATTTAACAAGATAAGCACCTACAAACAATTATTTGTTTGCTTGACAATATAGTAAAGGTGTGCCTCAGTTTAATTTTTACTTAATAAATGCACTTTAATGGCCAAATAAGCTGCATTTTGCCGGGGCAGTGCAGCGAAATGAAGCTGACTTGACGATTGTTCCAAGCAGTGAGCCGAACGAAGGTGGAAGACTGTGGCAAGCCGGTTGTGTCATTAATAGCTGGTGAAGATTCTCAGTCATCCAGGACATGGTAAATTCAAAAAAAGTTCAAGACAAAAACAATAAAGTATAAAGTAAAGTATAATAAATAAAGTCCAGTTGTTTATGTCTTGAACTTTTTTTGATTTGTCATTATAGCCACTTTTACCTATTACATGATACAACGGCATGCCTTATAACTACTACTCTGCTGCCATCTAGTGGCTGAAAATGGTAGTGTTCAACATTTTCAGTCAGTATGAATGAAAACGGTCATATCGCAGCTAAAAATTGGTTTATAAATATGGAAAAAATCAACGAATACGTCGCTTTGGCCTATAAGTCGCAGGGCATGCAAATTATGCAAAAAACATGACTTATAGGGAGAAAAATACAGTAATTCTGGTTGTGCTTACTGACCTCGAACCAGTTTTATGTGGTTATTGTGAATGAGTTGAATAAAGTTTGACTTATCTGATTGTTTTGTTTCACTTAATGCGCCTTATAGTCCAAAAATACGGTACAGAAGTGAGGATGGTATGCTTCATTAAGGTCGTTTAAGGCCGTGTCCAAAGTCAATTTATTATTATTCATTCTGTAATTCTAATTCCTCATTTATTCCCTTTTCTCTTGTCTTTAAGGTTCGTCTCGTGCATGTATGTATATTTACATGCTGCTGCACATTTGCTCTCTACATGTACAGAACACCCCAGGGCTCGCATTAGAACCAAAACTGGAGGTCGTGAGAATACTTGTGCACAAATTCACAATCCATCTCCTTACGTTAGTTAATCTGTGCTTGCAAACATGCAGGCGTTATTCTGTTTGAAAGGAAGCCCTACATTTTGGTTGAGGTCAATTTAAAAGTTTGACTCATCTTATTTCAAGGACCGCTCCCTTCTAAACGTGTTAAAATGACAAACATCACCTGCTGTCAGCTGCAGAAAAGCAGACAATACACTTAATTTACCTGTTGGCTTGACAGTAAAGTGAGATCTAAACGTTTGATTCATAAATATTTCATGTTATTTAGGTGAAAACAGACATTTCTACAGATGTTATTTGAATATTAAAGCCTGAGTTTCTAAACTCTTTGTTGTTTCTCTCTGGTTGAACACTGAAAACACAACCTGCCGCACACAGACTGTATTTCTGCAGATCTGTTTATAGATTACTAAACCGAGAGAAGGAATTGTAAATCTGTGCAGTTTTTGTTAATCAAGTGAACAGATTCTTACAACTTTAAATTTTATTTTTACCCATGACCCCTGCACGGTTTGTAAAAATGCATCAAACTGTCGTGGTACTCATGGGAATCTTTTATATTAGTTTGGTATGAGATGTTTTAATGATCCTTTCCAGTATTTCAGGTGAACGTGGTTGGTTTTTTGGTGAGAAAACCAGTTTAAGCTCACCTGCTGAGATCATTTATAGAACCAGAGCAGCTTTTCGTATGAAGAAACATGAAATGTTACAACCTGGTTTAGATTCAGTCACTCTAAAAATACTTTGTATTTAATTACCTGAGCACTACCACCTTGTTTGGCTTCTTGCAATTGTTTAGTTCAACTTAAGGAAACAAAATATGCAGCGACTGAAACAACCAGAGATCGTTTAGCCTCACAGAGCACCAAAAACAATATATGTGTTGTGTTTAAGTGGCACCGTTTGGCCTCTCCATCACGACCCGACAAGCACCACAAGTGTTATCTGGTGTTTGGATGTATTTGTATTCATTGCACCATAAAACACCAAATATGAGTTCATTTGTGTTATAGCAGGATTCACTGGTGTCGGTGTGTTCAGGGACGGGGTTAAAAACAAAAATTCGGGGCGTCTACATTAGTCTTGCGCCCCCCTGGAGGACTGACCCCAGCTCTTGCAGAACAGTAAACCCAGAAGACGTCAGTTTCAAGGTTAAAACAGGAAGTGAGTGTATGAACAGGAAGTGAGTGTATGAAGACTTACAGTACAGACACACTGCACGTGTGCATTTATAAATTAGCAAGGTAGCACCAGGGGGCTAAGGTCAACCAGCGGTCTACACAGAATCTGGGGAAGCAGTCCTTTACACTGTGTGTGTTTGTGTTTATGTGTCCAGTCTGAGTGATCCTGCAGCAGCCAACCTTCATGTACTAACTGTCCTGTTTGTAGTAATCAGTGTGAGAGAGAGAGTTGTTGTGTAACTAGTTGCAGGCAAAGTACTCCTTGAGCGGGGCGAAGAGGTGCCTGATGACGGGGACGCTCCAGGAACGTCCCAGCAGCCTTTGCCTGGCCAGACGACTCATGTTGGACACGTCGGTGTAGTGGACGGGGAAACCAAAGACCCTGAAAGAATCCAGACATTTAATTGTTTTAATATTTAGATCAAATGTGTGACAAGACGAGTCAATACACTGTATTCAGATAAAACCAATGGGTTGATTATTAAGTTTATTTTCTGTTTCTGTTCGTTTATACCTTTTTTTTTTAACATCTGATGAAGTTTGCACCAAGGTTCGAGTACATCTGAGCATGAAATGGGGAATAATTAAGAGCTCAACTCCAGTGAGTTCAAGAAATTCACACTCCTGACTTTCAGATGACTTGATTAGATGAGGAAGTGTGTGTGCTGCTGACATTTCGAAGTTATTTGTTTACGTTCAGAGGTCATCGTTTTCTCTGACCAGTCAGATCGGCAGTGTTTCAAAAACACCGTACGGTTGCATTATTTTAAAATTCCATACTTTTCCAGATCTAAATGTTCACTTTTATCTATAATTTTAAGCCTTTTTTTTTTTTTTTTTTTACAGAAAAGCTTCAGTAAATGTACTTGTTTTTATCTGTAGACCTGTCGCGATAACTAATTTTGCTGGGTGATTGTCTCAGAAATTATTGCGATAAATGATAATATTGTTTGAAATTTGACGATAATTTGTCATTATTGTCAAATTTAAGAAGAAAAGTTTTATTAGTTTTGCATGTAGTACCATTTTTGGCCACCAGATGGCAGTATAAGACTGTTTGAACTGAAGGATGGATAGTGAGGGAGCGAGCAAGGCCCCTTGACGTGACACGGGCTGTCTCTCTTTGGTTCTCAAAATGGCGGACGTTCGTGTGGTTTGAACTCTTTAGCATAGCATTTTTCACACAAAGCTTTTAATACAAAAATCGGTAAACAAGTTCTCAGCTTCTTCTTGCAAAGAAAAAAAACTTTTTACATGAAGGCACGAGTTTCAACTGTGAATTTTGGAGCTTCGACAAGACGGGAGGTTTTTTCCCCGAGGTCGGCCTGTTAGCTCGTAGCTTAGCGTCTCAGCTTAGCTGCTTTTAACGATCCAAAAACGTGATTTTGAACAGTTAAAACAGATTTTAAAGAGAAAAGAGAAAGGGAGGGGTCAGTGAAGAGCACCGGAGTTGAGCTTTTTGTCATCCAGTGTCTTCAGTAGAAAGAGAGACACGAAGAAACGATAAAGCCGATAAATAAAAAAGAGGTTGATCATTTTAATTTATCATGCGATTAATTGATTTATTGTTTATCACAACAGGTCTATTTATCTGTTAAGGTAAATTTATTGGATGTGGGATGTATATTTGGAGTTGAGCTTATTAATTTCGCTTCTCATCTAAGCAGCTTTATCAAAATGAAAAAGTGCAAAGTTTCAAGCTTTAAAACTGTAGTGAGTTGATTTTTTTTATGCAAGCTGAATTTCACAAGCAAATCATTCCCTCCTCTCCCCTCAGAGGGTCGTTAGGGTCTCTATTGTAGTTTTAAAGCTCGGAACGCTGAAGTTTTCAAAAAGCTGTTGAAATGAGAAGACAAATGTCTTCAGAAGATTGGAAAATATGTCAGTTTGCTTAAAAACGCTCAGAAAATGTTCCCGGAAATGTTTTAGAATTTAGATTTATTTAAAAAAAAAAAGAATGATTGAGAATCTACACCAACGCCAAACCATTCGTTCATCAGGATCTAACCAACGCCTGTCACCCAAAAATGTTAATCTGACTAACTTTACACACGAGCCTGTACACGATCGCCTGCAAAAAGGTTAAAACTTATATTTTTGATGGCATAACAAAAAGAAAATATATTAGAAATGATCTTTGAGCCGCCTGAAGTTAGCAATCCTGGTAGTAAATGAACAAAAAGTGGACTTTAAGGACAAATATTAAATACTGAAATTAAAACCAAGAAACTGTAGCAGCCCTGAGATTGGCTCCCTTTGACACTACAGCATCTATCTACAATCAGATCAGGTCATGTAAAAGCATCATAACATACTGAATTATTAAAGTTACACAGTTAAACCAAGAACTCGCAGAAGCAACTCCATATATTATATCTGTGGTAGTTCTCTTGTCCGTTTATGAAAATGCTGACAATGTGGATAGATAAGCCTAAATGGTCAATTTTTACACTAAAAGGCTGATCATATGTTGAGTTATAAAAAATAAAAAACAACTTTGATTGCATCAGACGTGGAGGTTTTGAAACAGGGGCTTTCCCCCTAAAGACAAATAGGTTTAGATAGAAAATCAAGAAACGTGACTTTTTTTTTTTGAGAAAGTAAATATTTAGTTTTCTTTACGATTGTGTGATGCTACTGAGAAAAACAACTAGAGCTAACACGGACGCTTCAACAGAAACACCTTCATACCTTTCCATTTCCGTGCACCAGAGGATGTCCTCCTTGTTGTCCATGTAGACGGGGAAATGCTCGTCTTTCCCCTGCTTCACAGAGTTGGAGCGTGTCGTTATCGTACGCAACTTCTCAAACTGGAATTTGCATCCAGAACCAGACACACAGAAACACAAACAGATGCAAACACATACATCCTGTTTTAATCCTACAGCTAATCTCCTCTGGTACGACAGCCATGATTTACTAACAAACTATGCAGCAGGAGCAGCAACAAAACGGGCAACAAACTCAATATTTGCTCAAAATTAATCAAAAAATGTCTCCCACTAAAGTATTATTTACACACTTCCATAAGGAGTACAACAAGCAACAGTTTAACTTAAAAGAAACTTAAAACAACAAAGAAATATAAAAGTCCATTCAAACACGCACACGTGCACACAGACGGGTAGATACCTTAGCTGTGCGGCCGTGCTCGAGGCACTCCTGTAGGTCCAGCTTGTCGTTTGCCATCGGCGTTAGAGGTCTGCAGAAAACAAAAAGGTTGGAAAGTACGAAGCTTAATTTGGAAGTTGGAAGGAAAAGAGCAGGACGTGAAATAATCCCTTCATGTGTGAATGTGTTTGTCTGCATCACCTGGACATGCCGGGCAGGTTTCCCCAGAAGTAACGAGCTCGGTGGGCGGCGGAGACTTCCTTAGCATCGATCATCACTGGGTTGCACTGAGGAGAAACATCACACTTAATGTGAGTTTACGCTGTGTATAACTAAAATGTACTTTAACACTGAGAGCCTGACTGATATATCAGTAGGGCTGATATTTTAGGACGATATAGGCGTTTGGGGATGTATCGTATCGTGATGATCGGCCCATTATGCACCGATATAAACATCTAATTTTCACCCCTAAAACGCTGGGAACGAGCCACGTCCTTACTTGCAAATGGCGTAATTGTATAATGCATCCAGCAGAGGGTGCATGCGGACAACTTTCAAGTCATGGCCATGCTGCACACGACTCACACACAGCCGAAGCAGGGAGCAGCTAAATACTGTGTGGCTTATTCTGATGAACAGAGCATGATAAGTTTATTTTAACTGAGTTGTGAATAAAAAAATCAGCATGAATAAATTCTTTTCAATACTCTATGTGCCTCTCAAGTTAGCAAGGTAACTTTTAGATAACCTGGCATAGGCTATTGCCTTGTAAAGCTTTATCCAGAACAACGTAAAGATAAAATATATCAGCGTTAGTAACGTTATCTTTGTCGTCCTCAATGAAATGCGTTGTTTGTCTGAAATCTTTACTTCTCTGCAAAGAAAAAAAAAAAACTCCTCTGCGGTCAGTACTGATTAGACCTTCACCGTACGCGACGGACTGTTTAAATAATGAAGAGGGAAGGGCATTTCTTTATTTAATTAATATTTTGTAACACACTTGATAACTTTATGGCGAATAATGGAGGATAAAAAAAGTGAATGCACATTAGGAAGACTCTTTCAAGACTTAAACAGGTTTAAAAGTGGCTGTTTACTGAGATTCTTGGGGATGGACAAAGCTAAAAAATTTCAGCCATTATATTGGTCATCGACATTAGCCTCCCCCTCCCAATATTGATATTGTCGACAGCCAAAATGTCCATATTGGTTGGGCTCTATTGATAATACGTGCTTCATTCCCCTCCTTCGTGATCTAAAGTAGCATTTTTCTGATGATGTGAAGTTTTCATGGTTGTACGTCATTATCTTCGATGCTGCTTTTAAATTTATAATTACTGTATTTGCTGTATAATTAATTTATCTGCCTAAATGTCTTTTGTTCTTCATGTTTTGTCCACGTAGAACAGTGTTTGAATTGAATGACTGTGGTTAGTTAGTGTATGTTGTGAAAAATAGACAAGTTGCTTGACATTAGAGACTTTCTGTTGATACCAAAAGCTAAATCTAAATTGTGCCTCTACAGAATCCTGCAGCTCCAGATGGACACCTAAGCACAATTTCTACTGTACTGAGATTTATATGTGTGATTTACATAAAAGATCATGTATTTTCAGTTCAATGTGCATACAGTAGCTACGTACATTACAGTTTCGCCTCCTTTTTAGCAAAATAAACAATAAAACAAAAGCTTTCTGCTGATGGAAAATTTCTTTTTCACCAATTAGTTTAATTATTATCCTTAAAGTATTTAACTTCAGAGTGAACTTTGCTTCTCTTGGCAGACTGTTGTACCTCCAAAAAGCGAGAGATGTCTCGTTTGTCGCTGACTCCCATGGCCACGACGTTCTCAAACAACCAGAAGAATGGCCGCTCGTCACCCGGTTTAGGTCGAGCTTCGTGCAGGAGGCGGTAAAACTCGAAAAACAACCGCCCGGTGCCCTCTGGAGAGGAGATGCTTTACTTAAAAACATATTCAAAACACAGATGAATCTTTAAATACTGAAGCAGGATGCATGTTACCATAAAGGCCTTTCCTCGCAGGGTTGACGATGGAGAGGTCGTTGCACGGGCTTCCTCCAATAACCAGGTCAAATGGTCCCCACTCCTCAATCTGACAACAAAAAAAACAACAAGCCTTAAAGACCAGCAGAGGGAAACAGACAGCTTTGATGAAACAATGACTTGTAGGCTGCACGAGCTGCATCTAAACAAATAATTCTGCCATGGCACAGATAGATGACGCTTACATGCTTGCGTGTGACGTTGCGAACGTCTCCCACGTACATGATGCGCCCATGGTGTCGAACGATGCCGACAGTGATGGAGTCCTCACACACTTCAGATGCGATGTACTTGTCCACCTGGATGCCCAAATCTTTCAGCACCAGCAGACCTGAACAGAGCAAACAAAAGAATGTTTGCCATGGAAAGGCTGCATTTTAGCCTCCGGATGGGCCTAATGGTGAGTTTTGTTATAAATTAAACCTGGCTGTAGATTTATGGGGAACTACCTGTGGCAATGCCATCAAATAAGGACAGGACTCTGATTGGTTTTCTCTTCTCTGCTGCGACTGGAGGATACAATTTGGCTGGCTCCTGAGAGAAAAGAGGGACAAGAAACAGTGATGAGAACAATAAACAAGTATATTGTAAATATATTAACAAACCTACTCTTTAACAAAACTGAACAAAAACAATTAAAAAAATCTACAATGAACTCGAGGTGAGTATCTTAACCGTGATTACGATTAACAATGTGATTTAACGTGTTTTAACTAACTTACGAAATCCTGCTCGTGGTTGTTGGCGAAGAAGTGCTGTAATCTGATTGGCCAGTCGTCCCGTCGCCGCAGTAACCCATAGGCGCTCCGGGGTCCGCACATGTAGCAGTTCCAGGGGTCCTCTTTAATGGCTGCTGCAGCTGAGCCGGCTCCGACCAACAGATCCACACACTCCACACAAAAACATCTGCACGCACACACACACCATCAGGAGTCTGGTGTTTCCCAACACACCATCCAGCAATCCCAGTAACTAAAACAGCAATTAAACGTTCTAATCTACCTTTAAATTGAAGGTTTCTGACAGGTAGGTCAACAACAACAAAAGACAGCTGCGGTTGCTATGCTTTTATTTCTGATAGGCTTGTTAAGATAATAATTAGTAAAGACACTAGAAAATCTTCATAGAACTAAAAAGAAAAATTAAGTAACGTGTTAAATGAAGTGCTGCTCAAGTAGAAGAACCATTAAAACAAACGGCTTTTTAAAAGGGAACAATAAATTTCACACAGTTGCAACAGAAAAACAGATTTAGATTATAATCCTATAAGAATAGTTTATTGTGAGCATGCATCAGGATACTAACTTATCGTATGTTTTTTTTTAAATGGTTTTAGAAGTCGAATACATATGAAGGCTTAACCCTCCTGCTGCCCTTGGGTCAAAATGACTTTAGGCCTCAGCTAAAAAAATTAATCCTTGTGCGTCATTTTGACCCAAGGGCAGCAGGAAGATTACGTATTTTATTAAATGTTTTTTACAGTAATGCTGCCATACAATAAAGACCAAGACTGAACAATTAGATTGCAAAAATAATTTTCAAAAACCCCTGCAAGTCAGTAAGGGCGACTTTCGTTTTGTGTCCCTGATCAATTAAAAGTTTAATACAGATATCAGCAAGTGTAAAGTTTAGTTTGGGGTTTGACAAACGTAGGCAAGTTACCAAAAAATAAAGCCTGGATTATTGTTAACCTGAAATGTCAGGTTGAAGCAACAGGGTACAATGAACAAGACTCAAATTTGATTGGCAGATTATACATTTTTAATATATATATTATATAATTATTATAGTTAGTATTTTTTATTCATTTGTACCCTTATACTATTATATGTTTTGCTTTTCATTGTTCTGTAATGGAGTTAAACTCAAAGCAGTCTGCTCCTCTGATAAATAATATTAAATTATTATTTTATATATGAATGTTTCTGTTCAGTGCCCTGAGACGACTTCTGTTGTGACTTGACGCTGTGCGAATAAACCGAATTGAACTGAATCTTTGACAGACGGTGACACCAATCTGCCTCTAACTTCTGCAACGGCGTATCCTTTTTTTAGAATTATTCCTCACATTTTTAGTTTAATCTTCATGTTTATTATCAGTGTTTCTTCTGATGCCTGCTGTGTTTGCAGTCAGAAGGATAAGAGCTCTCGCGCCAAAACCAACTGTGTATTCCGCAATCGAATAAATAAATCAGTTCCACGTGAACCGGCTGACTCAGTCGCCCGTGAGGAGAACCACAAACCAGATTCTGATGTTTTGCGTTCAAACTGTTTCTGCAGATGTGAAACCCTACACCTCCTCCCGGCCGCACGAAGAAGCTGCTGCAGGCCGATCCGAGACTCACGGCCGCTCCGAGCACAGCGCCGCTCCGAGCACAGCGCCGCTCCGTACTGACCTACAGCAGTTGTTGTTGCCGCACATCAGCACTTCCCTCCCCCCACAGCAGATGGTGCAGTAGGACTGGTAGCCGTCGTCGTCGTACTGGTAGGCGCACTCCAGGAACGAGTTCTGTAATAAACCCATATTTGTCTTTTTAGGTTCCAACAATATATTCATTGCATTAAAAGGAGATTAAATCTAGGATTTACATGCTGGGATTATCTGACTCAGGCAGAAAATGTAATTATAAATGACAGAAGCTGAGACGTTTGACATGTTTACATCATTATATCATATTTATTGTCTCCTTCATTTATCTATATTCTGCCTCTGAGGAGCCTGCTGTTTTTAATCATTCTTTTATAAAAAAAAATTATAATACTGCAATACGATAAAACGGTTCTCCAAAGTTCTTTAAAAGTCTTACAGCGGAGATTGGCAATTGTTTTTAACGCATGTTCAGTCATGTTCGTGCACATGACCGCCGCGCACTGAACTGCAAATCATTAAAGTAAATAAGAGATTTAAATGGACAAACTGGTGTTGTACCCACATTTGACTAACAGATTTAAAAATAAATAAATAAATAAACTTCCTCTATTACTAGCAGCCATTTTTCAAAAATGTTTATTTAGGTTTAATTTATTTAGTTGCATCTATGAAAAATGCCAAATATAGCAGTTTTAAAGGCATTAAACTGGATTTTTGCACTTATTTAAAACAGGTTCTTAACTAAAAAAAACATATTTTTGCTATCGATCAAAAAGGAAAGGATCTCTCTTGGAGGTTTTCTTACTTTGCAGCCCTGACACATTGCTCCTATGAAGAGAGGATGCTCCAGAGAGACATTGAGGCTTCCACAGGAGATGCAGATATCTAAATAAACACAGTTTAGTGAATTGCCAGTTCCAGGTAATAGAATGAAATACAAGGCAACGAGGTATTTCCCATACCACAGTATTGAATAAAAAGTGTAAATAACTGGGCTTGAGAAGCCACAGAACAGTAAAGTGAAACTGAATGAAGATATTTTAATGCAGTTATTAATTGAGACATGCACCGATCCGATACCAATATCGGTACAGATATATATATATAAAAAAAAAAACTTCTTGGTGACAATGTGACCGATCCATGACTGGGCAGATCTATTCACTCTAACTCTATGCTTTGTGCTCTGAGTGACGTTACGCGCTAGCGAACTGACTGAACAAATTAAAGTTGTTTTTACACGTTTGACCGAGCTTGTGAAGCTCGTGGTGTGTTTAAGTGCGCTGTCATGGTGCAGAGTTTTCAATAAATTTGTATTTCAGTACATTCATGTCTGCGTTTAACAAAACAAATGTTTTAAATTAATTCAGTGCTGGGTTTGTAAGCTCAAACATCCAGGTAGACAACAAAAACGGCTAAATCGTGTCATCTGGACTTGTTTCCAGCCATTTTTGTTAATTCAGCACCGGTTTTCTGTATCGGATCGATATCTGATTGGTCGATACAAAAAAATGAAATAAAAATCGCAGATATCTGTATCAGATCGGAAGTGAAAAAAGAAAGAAAAAGATAAAATAAAGGATCGGTGCATCCCTAGTTATTATCAGTAATAACATTAAAAAAAAGAAAAATTATTGGAGAAGGAAAGAAATTACCAAAGGATGATGGCTTCATAAAGAGAGAACGATTATAAATCCGGTTGTACACCTTACCTCGAGAAACCCCAGGATAATAAAAATACTCTAACGATAGAAAAACATCACTTTTTGTTTTGAAATTCCTCAGTAAATAAATACACAAGTAGACATGTTTACCTTCTATATTCCTGGTCTTCTTTTTGATTTCTTGAATAAGTCTCTCTGAGAAATAAAAAATTTGAAAAACAAGACACAGAGCATTAAACATTTCTACTCACAGCTCAATTAAAGCTGAAAACAGGGGGTGATGTCTGTGAAAAGCTATTTGTTATAACACTTGTAGCGTTATGGACATGGGGACAAACACCAGGACCTGCCGATCGAGTAAAGACTAAAATGTATTTGTCGTGTTTACCTCTGGTGCCTTCGTCAATCACCTCTCTGATCTTTGCTTTCTCTGCTGAGTTCTTGCGTGGTTTCTTTGCAGGTGGAGGTGTGTATGCTGCCTCGGGCTCCGGCCACATCTCCAGGTATCCCTCCTTAAATTGATTTTGTTCCTCTGTTGTTAAAAAAAACATGCTAAAAGTTTATTCCACAAAACCTGATGCTCCTTTTAAACATGTAGTAGACTACTTTCAGGCTGTAATATTGAGATCTATTTGTTGAGGTTTTTAAATCTTATTTTGATATTGAGACATATTTAAATGAAATATTACTTGTAAAAGTTGTAGCCTAACCAAAATATTACCGTAATTTTGCTGTATAAGTCGCACCCCTTTGCATAAATTTGCAAGTTCTGCGACTTATATACCGAGCGACTAATATACGTTTTTTCCCCCATATTTATAAACCAATTTTTGGCTGAGGTCTGACAATTTCATTCATTCAGACATGGAAAATATTGAACACTACCATTTTCAGCCACTAGAGGGCCCTCGAGTAATATGGCAAGCCAAGTGTCTCATTAATAGGTAAAAGTGGCCATTAATGAGACACTTGGCTTGCCATACAGAGCCACCTTCATCTCGCTCAGGAACTCCTGGAGCAAACGTCAAATCAGCTGCATTTCACCGCGCTGCCCAGGAGAAATGCAGCTGATTTGAGCATTAAAGTGCATTTATTAAGGAAAAGTTCAACTGAGACACACCTTTATTATAATGTCGAGCAAACAAATAATTGTTTTAAAGTGTTAATCTTGTTAAATTCTTGTTAAAGTCCTCCCATGCACGTTCCTGCAGCTGCCATTTGGCAGCAAATTGACTTTTGGCACAACACCGGCTCGCGTTTGCGGGTTGTCAGCGGTGATGCGTAATAGATGCGACTTATAAATACCGAAATACATTATAATCACTTCAGTTCCATCAAAATGTGGTTCTGTTTGAAACTAGCTGCTTTGTTTTTGTCTACCTATGCTACATTTAGCTTTAGTTAACATTTTGGTGCTTTTAGCTACCATTCTAGCATTTACTTATTGTTCTTCTTTTTTCAGCTTTTAGCTATAGCTAAGCTTTTAGCTAAGCTATAATGTTCTGTTACTTTAAACATTCAACTAACATTTAGCTAATTTAAGCTGTTGGCTACAGTTATGCCACTTTTTGCTTTTAGCTACAGTATAGCTAATTTTAGCTTTTAGCCATGGTTTAGCTCATTTTAGTGTTTAGATATTGTTTGGCTGATTTTTGTTCTGTTTTGCTCGTTTAAACAATGCAGTTTTAGCTTCATCTGTGCATTTCGGCTGTCATTCAGCAGCATTGTTTTTACTATATTTTTGCAGAAATTCTCATTTCTGCAGTTGTGATGTTTGTTTGTTTTAGTTTAGTATATTTTAAATATTGCAGTAGAGAAAAGTCTGAAAACAAACATATTCTCTATATTTTGCTTCCTTTGTTCTGTACTTATCTAAAAAATACTAAAACCAAGCTACAAACTTTTCAAGACTACAAAGGAACGCTGATCTACAAAAAAATATTATTTAGATATCAGACACAGGAAAAAGAGAAGTTTTGTGTCTCCAGGTCTAATTTTCTACAGCGGTAAAGAAAAGTCAGGAAACGCACGTCTTTTTGAATTTGGACTCCAGTTAAAATGTTTCGGATGCATTTTAAAAAGCCAACAGTTAAACAGAACGGCAACATTTATTACTCAGTCTGTACACTAGTAACATATAAAACACATTTTGGATCCATTTTTAAATGTAACGAGACCAGTTTAACATCTGTTTGAGCTAAAAAACATACTAAACGTTTCCCCTGGTTGATGAATGAATGATGCGTCTTATCTGTGAGATATTAGAGCAGCGACTGCTGACCTTCCTGAGGGTCCAGTGATTGTGGACCTTTGGGCAGAAAGCCGGTCATGGCCCACTCTATCATCTGTCGGGTCTGGATCTCCACAGCTTCAGCATCATCGCTTGCATCACAAGAAGGAACTGGTCTCCCTGCCCTCACACTGGCCACCTGAACACATTAAACAAGAAGATTTGAAGTTTATTTATGAAGTCATTGTGAATGTTCAAGTCACGTTATTCAAGAATCACATTTCACATTAGAATAATTGAATAATTAAGAATATTGGTCCACAACAACAACAACAAAAAAAAACTTAATGTTACTACAGCATGCGATCTGTAAAAAAAACACCCACAAAATTATAGATTGCAGCGCAAGATTCACTTTTCCACAAAAAAATGTGGGCAGGGTCAGTGAACGCACCTCCACAAATGCAAAATACCAACCAAAATCAATATAAATGTAAGGATCCCACTGCCTGCAGCCTGCCTTGCTGATGGCCGCTGAT